TGATACATAACTCTGAGGATTACGCTTCAACATGTGTTTTGGAAGGGACAAACACCTAGACCATAGTGCTTAGCCTTACCAAGCCATTAATATGAGTTCATAATCAGATCCACAATTCAAGCCAAAGAGAACATGTTGATGTCCAAAGTCTGTCCACTGAGAGGATTTTCATCCACCGCAGTCTTTGAGGATGTCTTGGCTTGGGTTACTATTGCTGGGATGAGACATCATGGACAAAAGCAAGTTCCAGAAGGAAGGGTTTATTTGGCTTACACTTCCACATTGTATTCCGTCATTGAAGGCAGTCGGGCCAAGAACTCAAAAAGGCCAGGAAGATAGAGGCAGGAGCTGATGCAGACAGAGGCCACAGAGGGATGCTGCTTAGTGGCTTTCTCCCCATGGCTTGCTCAGCCTGCTTTCTTATAGAACCCAGGACCAACAGCCCAGGGATAGCACCACCCACAATGGGCTAAGCCCTCTCCCATCAATCACTAATTAAGAAAATGCCCTACAGCTGGATCTTATGGAGACATTTTTCTCAGTAGGGGTTTCTTCCTTTCAGATGTGTCAAATTAACATGAAACTAGCCAGGACAGAGAGTCATCCCTGAGTAGTGCTAGAGCATGCCACTGTCCAAGTCTCAAGGGTGGTGCCTGGCACACTGCGCAGAGGCATTTTGAATTAAGCTTATAGGGTTTTATTTTTTCTCATCTATAAATTCTCAAAGAGTGCCCGAGACAGACTGAATGATGCAGGCACAGTTAACTACCATGAGCATTTTGGTCAACGGTTTATGCAGCCTAAAGGTACATTCTTGACCTGATTAGGCTGTTCTCTCTGTATCTTTGACTTGATGATGAGATGCTGTTGTGAAAGTCCAACCTTATAGCTTGTTGGGTAAGGCACCCAGTTCTGCATGGGTAATTTAAATGACCCGGTTTGAGCCCTTCCCCACCAATATCCTTACAACTCCTGAGTCTTGTAGCCATGCTGCCACTTGGTCTTGATATGCATCCCTGTCTTCTCCAGAGCTACAGGAGAAATTCTTTAAAAGCTTCGAAGGAGGACCACCACCTCTCACAAAGCATAGTCACAGCTGCAAGACTGGTACCTCGTCCCAGCTGGAACCCAAGCCATTGCCACTGATGCTGCCACCACCACTGCCACCACCACCACCACCACCCAATACATGCAGAAGGCTTGCTCATCTATACACTGAAGGGACAGGGGGACATAGAGCTAATACGAGAAGTAGCTGAAGATCAGCCTGCACTCCCAGTATTTGGCATGGCTCAATGGTTCACTCCCCCACTGATGAATGGACACCCCAGAAGAGAACCAAGCGTCACAGTCCCAAAAGAAAAGCAGAAGCAGGGCCCTAGATCAAAGTAGACATGGATACCATGAATACATGGGATATTCGTGTGGGAAAATATGGAAGAGGACATAGCAAAGATGAACTGCCCATATCAACAAGGCAGGTCTACACAGTGGGGAAGCCTGCTCCAGGACCTGACATGTGCCCCATATAAGCTCTAGCATATGGACATCTGGCACAGTGGGAAATGAGAGCCATCATTAAACCAAGAAGTGGCTACAAGGAAGGCAGCAGGCTACACTGCTCAGAGGCCCTCACGATCTCTCTGCCTTTCCCTCCTCCTGACCCCATCACAAAGACTAATTATAAAGCAGAGGAGTGACTGACCTGAAGCCAGGCCACAGCTCCACTGTTTTTCTAGCAACCATGGACCAGGACACTGCTAGGGCAGGGAGGGGAGGAAGATCTGAAGCAAGTTGGATATTGAGTTGTATGATTGATTGGAACTGAACTTGTAAATAATTGGAGTGGCTAGAACGTCATGGAAACAACCCTGGTTATCATTAATGGAAGATGATTCAATAGGGCAAGGATCAAAGCAATGGTCACAGAAGAAAAGGAAGCCTCACATGCCTAACGCAAGGCACTGGGATTTCTCAGCCAACTATTCTCCTCCACTGTCACCTGAACCTGCCCTTCCCCCTCCAATGGCTCTCCTCCTGCCCACACTATAGGCTCCTATAGGGCCTGAGAGACAGCCTCTAGGTGGGGTGCTGAATTCTCACAGAAGGGGAGTGTGCGGTCACCTCCCCACTTTGTGGAGAAGCGAAAATGATTGTTGCCATGCTACACCTGTCGGAACTCATGGGCAAAATGCATTGTGCAAAATGGGATAAGCAGGTCTCTTGATTCTTAGATGATGTAAACACTGCACATTTAAAATCGCACTAAGATAATCTGCATTGTAATAGCAGAGTTTTTACTGAACACTTCTGATTCTATTTCTTCACTGCTGGGAAGGTGGGTGAGGCCATGTGATTGGTTCTCTTTAGTCACTGGAACGTGAGCGATGTGACCATGAGGGTTAGTTTTTGTCAACTTGACACAAACCTAGAACATATCTCGGCAGAAGAAATGTCCAGTGAGTTCTTGCCTCCACAAGCCTGGCAAGTCTGTGGGAAGCATTTTCTTGATTGATGTAGGAGGACCCAGGCCACTCTGGGCAGGCGGTCCTGGGTTGTATAGGAAAGGTAGCTGAGCAAGTCAGCAAGCAGTGTTCCTCCGTAGCTGTTGTCTCTCTTCTGCTTGAGTTCTTGTCGCCAGTTCTTCAGTCATCAACTGTATTTGGAACACGTAATCCAAATAAACTCTTTCCTCCCCGAGCTGGGTTTCTTTATCAAAGCAATAGAAAGCAAACTAGGAATGATATACTTCACGTCTGGATAGAAATCAGAGTGCAGCTTACCCTGTTCCCCTCTCTCTGTCTCCACAATCAAGAGGGAAGGAGCCTTCCTTGGCCTGGATCCCTGAGTGAGGATACAAAGAAGTGTCCCAGCTGACACTAAGTCTATGTCGTCCCTTTGTGTTTTAGCCACAGAAGACGTGAAGGATATGTGTCATCGCAGCTCATCCTAGCCTCTCCTGATGGAGTCATATCAGCAGCTCAACATGTGTCCACTACCTTGTAGACAGGCAGTACCTCAGTGTGCACACACCCTTCTACCAAGGCTGTAGATTACCAAAGGATGGCCTTGAGTTTGGGAACAGGCCCGGCTTACCTCATCAACCATTAACTAGAATCAATAGTCCTTTTAAGAGGATCTAGGCAAAAGGGCTTTTTGTAGAATCTATTCTCTTGAGGTGGGGGGTGGGGGGATGGTGCAGGGCAAAACAGCTTGCTGGGACCGAGTTGTTAAGGTGCTGTGAGAAGTTGACGTGGCAAGCAGAAGGAATCATTCAGACTGACAAGAGACACCTGGCTGGCATTCCCAGCTCAGGAAGTTAGTAGAACTAGAACAAAGGATACGACCAAGGTTAGGGCCCTTTTAGCAAACCATGAAAGTCACGTAAGAGTAATAAATTCGTGCTGAAGGGCTAAAGAACTTGGTGGTATTTCATGAAGGATCGAACTTCCCCTGTCCCCACTTGTGCAGAAAGAAAAGGTCAAGGCTCCTGGGAAAAGACTGGAACTTTCTTAATGGCATATCCATGATCTTGCAATTAAAAACTTGGGGGGTAAATGGCTAGGACCCTAACTTAGCTATCTCTCTGCATTATCTGTTGTTTTGATTTTGTGTGTCTGTCTGTTCATCTATCTATCCATCCATCCACCCATCTATCTTTCTATAAAGATGTTGGGGTTGTTGGTGTTCCACCCCCTTGGGAAACAGATATTATCACTAGGAACCCTGGGACCTGGGACCCCATCCTCTGCCAACACTCACTGGTCCTGAAAAGATAGCCAGCCCCAGAAACCTCTAGACCTGCCTGATGAACGTGGTCCCAAAGGTCCGTCCTTGTGGAAATGGAGCATAGCTCTGAGCCCAGAGGTGAGGAAAAACAGAATGGATCTATTTGTGTCTTTTCCTTGACTCTTGATGCAGCTGTGTTGAAAAAGGATGCTGTTCTGGTGCCCCCAGGAAGGCAACTGGGGTATCAACAGTGCCCAGGGCCTGGTGTCAGGAAATCTGGAGACTCCTGCTCTACCTTTCCCAGTCCTAGCAATCACTTTGATTCTCCTCGTAGGACTGAACCCCCACTCAGGACCTGGAACAATGTTGCCTGAGTCACTGAGTTGTATTATTACCAAAGACCGTATCTGTGACACAGCAGACAGCCTGGTACATCAGCGTACAGCGAGCCAGACATCCCCATTGCCCTGAATCAGCAACTTGCGTTCTGAAACTGGAGTGGAACTGCATGGGGTACCAGAGGATGAGGGACTGTGTGACCAGTCAAGGTGGTTCAGATCCTTTTTCAGGGAAGTCTTACCAGAGAAAATGTTAGGGGAGGGAGATCAAGAGAAATTATCTTCTGTGTACCCACAGAGGACAACAGTCCAAAGCACAGCCGAAAGAATCTGCAAAAGCTATTCAAGTGGGCAGTTACAAAGGTCATTCCCAAGGACAGCCCTACATGGGGAAAGAATGAAAGGAAATGGTCCCATTCACAGAGACCCAGGTCCCTGGCATCTATCCTGGCTCTCGGTGTGTTGTCAACCCCTATCCTAAAGCCTTCTGCTCTGCGGAGTTCACCAGCACAGAACTGAGATGTGGACTGCATAACCCCAGTGAGGGTCAGCTTTCTGCCTGCATTCCCGCCCAGGGTCCAGACCACAACCAACACAGCCGGGCCCACCAGGAATGAGATTGTCAGTGGTCCTTCCTGCAAAGCTCTACCAGCTACATTCCAGATGTGGCTGGAGGGGAGGACCCCACAATGGGGATACTTAGGGGTTTCTTCAAGGGTGAAGGTAAAAAGGAGAACACGCTAGAAGGCAAGGGTCAAGAGGAAGCACACAACACCCAGAGGCCACTGCGCCCCCTGCTCATGTCTCATCAACAGCAACTTAGACTTTCCAGCATCAGAGCTTGAGCGCTTCGGCCAGGGAAACCATGAAACCGTCCAGGAAATGGGGCCTTTCCTTCAGAGGATGCCACCGAAAGAAAAAGTTCCCGGCTGCCAAGGTTTACCCACTTTTTATTTTTTTATGAAACAAGCTACAAATACTCTTTCCTTGCTCCCTCCCTCCCAAGGGAAAACCACACAGCACAGCCTCTGCCCATCTGTGAGAGAGAAGGTGGCTGGGAAGATCCTGAGCTCCTACGTGAAGGTGGCTTCTCTGTGCACACGTTTTCTTCACGCCAGGAAATGGGGCTGGAGTCTGCTGGGAGGGTCATCTCATCCAGCTCCAGCACGCTGTGGTGGTTTTGGTGAAGGCTCCTAGAGAAGACTTCTTTTCTACCTTAGCCTGTCAGGACAGGGTCATTCATCATCATGGGACAATGTATGTGACTTTCTCCAGAACAGCAGGAAGCTTCTGTAGCCGAGACTTCATCAAATCAAGCCTGAAGAGGCTGTGCTCAGGGAGGTGAACAGCATGTATGCGACCAAGACAGAATATGGTTTACCAAGGTGGGTGTACTTATGGGATGCTGAGATGGAATGGCAGACAAGGCCAGATTGCCAAGAGCATGCCAGCAAAAGCACCGTTCTAACCTCCCTCGCTGCCATCATCGCTGACCATAGGGAGAGCTGCTAAGTGTCACTTGCTGCTCTGACTGAAGGCCATCTGAATCAGCGTGTCACCTAGACAAAAAAAAAACCTTATCTGTCTTATCTGCCCTGATGGCTGGGTGGCCACTCTGTAATCCCAGTGACACTCTGTGCAAAGGCCTGGATTTCCCTGTAGCTGGGTTATTAAGTCTATTCTACGTGGGGAGGCAGAAGTAAGGGATGCAGTGTCAATTTTACTTCTAGAGTTGGCCCATAGGTCTGGAAGTCCATGAGAAGAATTGAAGGAGTAAGAGCAACTCCAGTGTTGGTTAACAAATGGCTGACCCGATTGGTGAGGGTGAGGACGAGAGGTAGCGGGAAAGCGTGGAAGTCAAACCCAGACTGACTCCCGTGCTGGGGGAGGCATGCTTGTGGAAACTCTCTTGTGGGTTGGCAGAAGGGCTGGCGCAGGCCATCTGTCCTCTTCACCATCTCCTTGGGTGCCAAAGACCTGATGAAGGAAAGCCCTGCTGGGGTGTCCTTTTCCTCAGGTGCTTGGTGTGTCTCTATCAGGTCCTACATAAGAGTAGCTGCTAAACAGGAGTGGAAATGTTTAAAGTAGCCAAATTCAGCCCATTCAAGTATAACTTGCTCAGATATTTACCCCAGACTGCCAGGGCACCTGGCTAGCAGGGGCATGTGGGCCACCAGGGAATTGGAAGCCATACTGGCCATCACGTGAGCTGGGTTCCCCTCCTACCCAGCCAATGGCCAAGTGACTGGACTTGGACAGCTAATGGCATAGAAGAGTATTCCCTTTCTCCCAGAAGAGAACTGATGGTGTCCATGGCACAAGCATGGCATTCTCATCTACTCTCACACAGAGTCCATCTCCAGTGAAACTCAGGTAAGTTAAGGATACAATCTGAGAAAGCTGGACTGTGAGTCCAGAGTAAGGAGAGGGAAGGGAAGGAACAAACAGTAATGTCAATGCCTGTACAAAAGAACTATACAATTTACATATATATTTATATACAGTATATAAATCTCTTTCCTCTGGATCCCAACATCACCCTCCCAATAACCTAAAAGTTGTCAGTAGCAGATCCAACACTTAACAAATAAAAGAGAGAATAAACAGCTTTTCTTCCCTTTCCTGTTCCCGCTGTGGTATTAGATAGCTGGTGTTTACAAATGAAACTGGAAACAAAACACACACACAAGAGTTATTAAAAGTGCAAACATGGCGGGCACCACTTATGTTACATGGGCTGTGGCTGGGCCACGGGCAGCGCTGAAGGGTACGTGTCTTCTCTGATGGTCAGTTCTGTCTCCTCAGACTCTCCACTGGCCTCTTGGTGTTTCTGCTCCTTAGACAAGGCGTCCAACTGGGCGGGGGAAAGAGAGTGCAAAAAAAGAAAAGTGATATAGGCAGTTAGGGATGCAGGAAATGTTCGCCTAGGTGAGTGTCTGCATGAGGGTGGCTTTGGTGCCATAGATATGAACTGAGTCAGGCGCAGGTTGCCTAGATGTTCAGACATGCATATTTAACCCACCCATCTTTTGCTATTTGGAAGCAACTCACAGACAGCATCTAGAGTCAGTTTGGAATTGCAAAAATCTCGACTCTGCCAGACAAGCAGAGGATGCGTTCTGACCAGATCATACTAGGTCAGCCTGGAGGAAATGGCAGGTGTCAGCGATGGGTGGGGGTGACAGAATCCTTTTAGCACTGATGCCATCTTCCTCTTATGTCCCCACCAGACACCGAGTGTGTGCCCTCAGACCTGGCCAGTGGCTTCACTGCTGTGCCAGCACAGTTTCAACAGGGGGTCCATAAAAGAAAGAGGGGGGAGCAGAAAGAAGGCAACTTACTGAATGGGTTTGTGCCTGCTCGTTTTCCCTGGGGGAAGCTGCCAAGGCTACCACCTGCAACAAATAGGAACAGATGACATAGGAGGGGCCTTGACCTAGTCAGCTGGCAGAGCTCCCATATCTGAGCCCCTGCCTCTTCTGTGCTCAGAAACAGCAGGAGTAAGAGGGAGCCGGAAGTGGCATGGCTGTGCTTCCTGTTCTGGGGGTCCCTATTGCCCTGTTCTCCCTGGTACACCTGCTGCCCACCAACACATTTCAACAGTCTCTTCTACAGTCAGGGCGCCTTTCTGGCTACTGCTGCTGCTCCTGTGGTTCTTGACGTTGTTTCTGTTGAGACAGCGTTTCTCTATGGAGCCCAGGCTGACCTTGAACCCATACTGGCAGGCACCGAGAGAAGAGAGAATAAACAGTCTCCCTTCACTTTATTTTTCCCACCGTGGCACTGGAACCCGCTCGGGATGCCACTTTGGAATCCCCTCAGCTATTAGCTAAGGCGGGCTTTAGTGGCTATTTCCATAACTTTCTTGGTTCTGGTTCTCTGAGTCCTGTAATGTCAGAGCCCCGTCACTTGCCAAATCTGAAGGCAAAGGCTCAGAGTGTCTAACCTGGTTGATAACACCCACCCCTGTGCACCAGCCATGGTGCTCCTTCAAGACCTGACCCCCTGAAGGAGGAACATGCTAGGAGCTAGGCCAGCTCCCTCTGTCTCTGAACATACTTCGGAACCTTGCTGGACGGGACCAGAAGGTAGAATCTGCACAACACCTGTGCTGCTTCTACTCTGCCCCCCTCCCCCCATGTAGGACTGCCCCAAGAATCAGCTCAATTCTTAGGATTTGGGGAGATTCACTCTGCAGAGCCCAAGATTTCCTATGGATCCCATGACCCCACAGCTCAGCATCTCCCAACCTCCTTAACACCCAAGAAAGACAAAATAAGGGCAGACATTGGCACATCCAAGTCCACAGAAGAGGTCACAAGTCCAGAAAGATAAGAGAAACAGACCCAAGGCAGGCAGGCCTGTGGGAAATGGCAGAGGCAGGCCGCCTGACCTTACAATCCATATTTACTCTGCTCCACTCTGCAGCTGCTGCTCTCAGTGGTAAACACAGAGATCTGCACTAGAAAGAGGAGGCCTACAGCCATCCTGGTGGTCCTGCTCCATCAGTGGAGATATAGAAAACAAATGGAATGCCAGGAGCACATCTCTGTACCTCAGCAGATGTATACAACAGGAGTGAAATTATCCCCATTTAATAAGGCTAAGAAGCCATGATGGCACAGAATTCATGGGAGGAAGCAAAGTCATTGCTGGCTGTAACCCTCTGGACCCATATTCGGGACCCTCAAAGAAAGAGGAGAAGCCTGAGCCCAAGGAGAAGCTGGTAGTTCCGATACACTGAGTTCCTCGTCCTCAGGCTGCTTCCCTGATAGACTGATTACTACAATCCTCACCAAAAAACAGGCCTCCAAATGCAAGCCTTGCCAGGATGGACAGGAGTGAGAGTTCTGGGAGGTAAAAGAAGGAATGTTCATGTGGCATTTCCAAAATTCTGGTTCTTCAAACCCAAAACCACACCCTCCAAGTCCCATTCTCTACCATCCCATCTTGGGACCCCACCTGGCATGCAAGCCCCTCTCAGGCCACGAGAGGGCACCACATAATACCAGATGACCTGTACCTGGGCTCCCAAAGACCATCCAGCCCGATGGATGTCACCCAGAACAGAGGGGAGGCTGGAGGCTGCCAAGCAGCACCTCTGGCCCCTGGATCGATTCCTCTGCTCCTGATCGCTTCGTCTGTGTGTTCACTGTGCACCTGGACTCTGCCCCACCCCTCACCCGCTCTATCCTGTTTACTTCTCACACCGGATCTCCAAGGGAGACACTACTACCTCCATTTGGCAGAGCAGGAAATTGAAGTCTAGAGAGGTGAGGTGCCTTGTCAAATTACAGAGCTAGAATAGACAGAGCTGGAATTAAGGGTCACCTCTATCTGACTTCAGGGTCTCTGCCTGTACCCATATCCCTACTTCTGTCTAGACAGTGGTCCTCATTCCTCCCCCAGGTTTCTCCATAGCCCTCCGTTCTCCTGCTGGCTCCGTATGCCTGGAAGCCGGCATGCTTGTCAGGGCAATGTCCACAGAGCCCCCAGCAGACTTCACCTCTGCTCTCAGAGCCCCACAGCTACATCAACTCCCCAGTGCCCTGGATTCCTCTCTGGCCACTGTCTTGGCTTTCCCAGGTAACAGCTGGCCTCCTCACAAGAGACTCTGGGGTCATCTTCATGGAGGGCACAGAAGCCAGTCTGTGAAGTTCCACAGATGAGCCGAGCACTGGCAACATTACTGCCCCGTGAGTGCGGATCACTGCCCCTCTGCCTAGCCCAGACTCTTCTAATGTAGAACAACAGAAGCCTTCGGGCTCTGGAAGCAGTGTGTGCTTCGCTGTGTGGAGGAATGGAGCAGAAAGGAAGTCCTTTGTGATCTCTGTGGGCTCTCAGTCTCAAAGCTGTCCCTCCAACATCCCCCTCTTCCTTCTAGCCCAGTGCTCTACTTGACCCCATTCCTAACACCACACACACACCACATGCACGCAGACACACAGCACGTACACACGTGAATAGTCATGCATACATATATTTGAAGCCGAGCATAAAGGGCTGAGGAGATGGCTCAGCGACTAAGAGCACTTGCTGCTCTTGCAGAGAATCCAGGTTCATTTCCCAGCATCTGCATGGTGGCTCACACTACTGTCTGTCACTCCAGAGGACAAGGGGTCTTCCGACCTCTGCAGGCAACACTTGGTGCACATACATACAAAGAGGGAAACACACACACACACACACACACACACACACACACACATACAATTTCTAAAGACCGGTATAGAAACACCACACATATGTACACACAGTGAGATGCTCTCGGACAGGTACCTGTGCAGGCATGCTCACAGAGACATGCCAGAGAGATCCACCCGCCACAGATGCATGCAGACTCGTCACAAGCGTACTGACAGTCACAGGTGCTCCAGCCACACCCTGAATGCCACCTCTGAAGTCAGAAACGCAGGTTGGGCAAGAAACAGAAGGTGCCCCAGGGGTCTCTGGGAAAAACTGTTCAGATGACTAGAAACCACAGCCTGCTCCTGGCTGAGTTGGGGTTGGAGGAGCATCCAAATGAGCCGTGGTCCTTAAATCCTGCAGTCCAGACTACAGCTTCCTCTGGATGCTTCCTCCATGTCCTGTGCGTCAGCTGGAAGTGGCAGGCACTTGGTGTCTGGAAACGTTCCAGAGGGAGACTTCCTGGGTTCAGTAGACCATGTCAATACACTGTACCTTCCCTTGCTTTAATGCTGTATGGACAGTACTCCCAGCACAAAAAAGGGGGGGCATGGAATGGGACAGGGTCAGGCCACAGCACTTCCTCACCAAGTTCCAAGTATCCTTGTGTAGACCTGAGAAGAGCACTGGGAAGTCTCTTTCAATATGACCTTCCCAGTCCAGTGGCTCTTCACTGCCTTTCTAAAGCCTCCCTACTGAGTGAAGAGATCTCCAGACTTACCTTGCCCCTTGTCATCCTCCCTACAGATGCTACAGCCCCGTGACAGAGTTACAGTCCACGAACCATGAGGAGTTATATGCAGATCGGTTCTCAGACTGTCCCAGAGAATCACCTCACATGCCCCTAAAAGCCCATTGATGAAGACAACAGGGTCGTACTCAGCCTGGTTCCTTGAGGTATTAGGTAGAGCCACCCCTATTCTTGCTCTGTCCCTTACACATACGTACCACATACAACATATGTGCACACATACGCAATCTGGAACTATGCTGTCCTACTCCATGGAAAAGATAAAAGATAAGCAATTTCTGCTAAGTTGAGCTATGAGTATGAGTCTGTTGGCTGCTTACTGCACCCTGGCCCACCCTATCTAATACACACTCACAGTACCAATCACAAAGCACATCCATAACTATCTATTATGTCTTCTCAGTAGACTGTTTAAGAATAGGAACCTTATCAGTCAAGTACAGGGCTACAGCGAGCAGCTAGCCCCGGAGCACAGCCCACCCCCAATAAACAGATGATGAATACATGGGAGTCTAGGATCTCACTGCCCCAAAATAGCCCTTGGTCCCTGGCCCTGGCAGGTATGCAGGGAGTGGCACTCACCTTCTTTGCTAACACCCAGGCAGCCCTTCAGCTCAGGCAGTGAGATGACCTTGTCCTTGTTCAGGTCGCAGTAGTCGGTGAAACGCCGGGCACATTTCTTGGGCTTGGCTTTCTTCTTTACATAGCGCTTGAACGGCTTCATCTCCCGCTTGTTGATGTCATCACTGCTGTTGCTATCCAGTTGGCTGAAGTACCAGTGTGCCACTCGCTCCTCCAGGGTGTGGCTGGGGTCGGGCTCTGAGAACCTGGGCAGTGGACAGACACCCCCACCCCAGAGAACACCAATCAGGATCTTGCAGGAGCCATGGACCCCACTGTGATTCTCTCCCAAATGGCCACAGGCCAGAGTACTTGCTACGGTTAAGCACTTGCTCTTGCCATGAGCTCTTCTAACTCATACTGAAGTTGACTGACAATGTGTCTATGTTGGGGAGTGAAGGTGAGCCCTTGAAGAAAGTTTAATTACCTTCTTGAGAGACTGGGTCAGTTCTTATTGAAATGGATTAGTTCTCACATTAGGCTGCTATGAAACAGATGCCCGCCTCATCTTTCCCTTCCTCTTTGCATGTACTTGCTACATGCAAAGCTGTAAGCTGAAGCTTTAAGAGGCTCTCACCAGAGGCCATATGGATGCTGCCATGCTCTTGGACTTCCAGAACCATGAACCAAAATAAAACTCTTCTTTATAAGTTACCCAGCTCAGGGCACTTTGTCACAGCATCAAAGACCAAACCAAGACCGTCTTCATGCTGGGCTATCAGACATCAGGTAGCAAGAGCTCGTTCCTTAGGGGTTTCCAAGGAAACCCCGATCATTATTTCATTGACCTGCCTCATCTTCTGAAATAACCAAGACATTCCTTGTGCAGATAGGCACTCCAGACAAACTACATAGATTTAATCCACCTGAGTTAACCATGTCTAGGATCTAAACTGTCCTCTCTTGACCCACAGATCACTGTCAGACAGAATGCTTTCCTGAACTTGTGAGTGGAAACCAGCACTGAGTGTTCGCCACACCCAGTGCCAGGACTGGGGATATCAGCCCAGCCTCGGGCTGCTCACTGTCTCAGAGGAGCAGAGCCTAAAATATGAAGACTGGAGATGGAATGTGTGATGTTCCCATCACCTGTGGCTTTGGGCTTGTGTGGAGAGGCTCAAGGTTGATGTCAAGAGTCACCCTTGGTCGCTCTCCACTCTATTAATTAGGGCAGAGTCTCTGTGTTGAAGCCACGGCTCCCCTACACAGTTGGTCTAGACAGCCAGCTTCCTCTGTCTATTCTGTGCCCACCTGCTGAGTGCTGGAATTACAGGTACACTCCCAGCATTTACATTAATGATTGACACCTGAGCTCTGATCTCATGTCTGCTGCTTGGACTTTGACTGCTGAGCCATCTCCCTTAGGACTTCTACTCAGGATATCTGGGGTGGGCCTAAGAGATTACATGCTAACCAGAACCCCAGCTAATTCTTAGAGAAACTAGAGTGACCAGGAGCACATCTTGGTGCCCAGACACATAGTGATGACTGCATCTGGCACAGTCCATATCTCTGGACCACAAGGTTTCAAGGTCAATGCCTATGTGTATGAGTATATGCAATGGCCTACCTACCTGTTGTTTTATTTATTACCCAATTATTTATGCATCATCGTTACTCAAAGAAGTCAGAGTGATACTAATAACAGTTTTTAAAGCTAATGATAAGTCTGTTCCAGAGGAGTTGATTAGAGTTCCTGATCAAAAGAAAGGAGACACACAAGTGTCCTGGGGCTTTTGCCACTGACCATGAGCTGGGATCCATATTCAAATGCCTGGTACCTTGCCCTTGGGAAGGGGAATAAAGCTGGGATTGAGATCCTGTAAGATTTCAAATGACTGATGTGCAGGGTCTACAACAGAGCATTGATAGAGCTTACTGATGAGCTGGGACCAGGTGATAGGGACCCTTGCTTGCACACTCTAAAAATATACCTGAAGTTTTAAAAAAAATGTCCAAGGTACTTGGTGATATGATACCTCTCTCAGTTTGCTTTATGTTCTAGAAAGGGATGGGCCACATCTCATCCCTCCCCGAGAACAAGCCGGAAAATCCTGTCTTGCTTCACAACTCCCAGGCGACGTAAAGTTAAAGCAAAAAAAAAAAAAAAAAAGCTGCATTACTTCCCCAACCCCCCACCCCCAAAAAAAAAAAAAAAAAAAAAAAAAGGCCAGTCACCCCTGGTAGCTGTCCATTCCATTCTTAATGAGGTAGACTTCAGTCTTGGGTAAATCCCCTGGACATCCTGGACTGGAAGAAAAATGTCAACAACAGGACCTTATCCTGACAGCTTCCACCCAGAGACCCTTGGGGAAGGTGTGACGGAGCTGTCACTGGCCTTTGACTCCCAAAGAATCTGCTTAATCTGCCCCCGAAACCAGGTGCAGGAAGTCTGAGGCAGGCTGACACTCTCTGCGCTGTTGTGTCACTGTCTGTGTGTACGTTTCTCTTCCTTTAGGAGCAGCAGCACCTGCTCTCATGGCTGCCCCTGCAGTACATAGGGGGTGGGCAGGCAGAAACTCTGTAGGGATGCTCAGGATGTGGGAAGGGGAGCATCAGGGAGGACCCAAGCCCTGGAGGAGTCAATAGCTCCCAAGGAAGGCTCTCACCAGGGAGCTGTGAGAGCGCCAAAGCAAAGGCATCTAGCTCTTCCTTTAACCTTTAGGCTCGGCATAGCGTAATGTCTACCTGGAGGCTGGAATAATAAAGTCTCGGTTGCTGAGACACGAAGGGATGAGGTCATCCCAGCCAGAGGCCCTGCCAGGGAAGGCTTTCTCCCTCCAACATGTGTTCCTGGAGCACCCCCCTGTCCGCCTGTCTGTTCTCTACACGTCTGTGGTCAGAGCTCTCCCTACCTGCCTTTGGGCTATTTCGCATCAAGAAGCAGTTCTTCCAACCTCAAAAGCTCTGAGTTGGCTAGGAGGTGATAACCACGTGGGCCCTGTTCCTTTGCCCTCCTGGCTCTCCTTCGCCCCCTCTCTGTTCTCCCATCAAGACATTCTAGTACGGAGCAGCCCTGGCTTCTCACTGCTAGCTTGCACGCCTCCCTTGCTCATTGCCAAGCCACAGCAGAATGCTGGGCTGAGTACAGGAGGTCTTATCTCAGGAGAGGCCCTTCTAAGCCCCCAATCCACAACCTACTGTCTGGGCACAGTGTCCCAACCCCTCCCTTCCATCCCAGCTATCAGCTTTTGGACCCCTTAGATCTCCAGAGGTTCCCGTAAGTAACAAAACCCCAGTGTTCTACCTCAAGGCTGGGTGATGGCAGGGCCATTCTTGAGAACCCACCACCTTTACCGGAACAAACTCCAAGACCCTTTCTACTTCTGATCTGTCCCAGTCTTGGGATAGCTAAACCAGCACGGAGCGTGTGCAAGAGAAGACACCAGAGACCTCTGAACTGAGCAGTTCTGAGATTCCTCCTGCAGGGGGGTGTAGATGAGGGTGGGGCAGAACATCCCAGAAAATCCCTCCCAGATTTTCTAGGGGCCTCTCAATCCATCTTTGCCGGCGTTCCTGCCACACTGACCCCTGCCCTCGCTACCCTGACCTCAAAGTCATATCCCACTGGCCACTCCAGCTCTCACAACTTCCTGAAAGTACCCTCCTACGTGTTTCTTTTTGTACATTCGTTCACTCATTGTGTGTGTGGAATATATGCGTATGCATGCCACAGTATGCACATGCAAGTCTGAAGACAACCCACGGGAGTCGGTTCTCCCCTTCCACTATACAGGCTCCCAGGAACTAGCCCAGGCCATCAGTCTTGGTGGCAAATACCTTTACTCAAAGAGCCATCCCAGTGGTTCTCTGGAAGCATCCTCTTAAAAAAAAAAAAAAAAAAAAAAAACTGCTGCTGATCTTACAATTCTAGGCTGACACTGGCTCAGTCTTGCTCTCCCATGCACACTCATACACACACACACACACACACACACACCTACTGGGGGCAAGAACTGCTCAGTTCATAGTTGTTCATCAAACTGGAGCTGGGACCCTATGCTGAAGGAGCCAACTGCCTTTATCTGTGCCTGCAGGAACTCCTTCATGGGTAGTGTTCTTCTAGAAGGGATACCTGGGTGGGTAGAATGCTCAAGTTTTCTCAGTTGTAGTGTGGAAAAGCTACACACAAAAGATGCCTCATTCTAGATTCAGGATATTGTAGCTCTGTCTTTGGGCTATTTTTGTAACTTCTGTCTTCAGGGATAGGGAAACCCATTAGAGGCAGCTCCCTCCCTGAACAGAAACACTCAGCCTTCTCCCAGTTTTAGGGGTGGTGAAGGCCATCCTGCTGCGGCACTTTCAGTTTTGATTCTGTGGCCTTGGCCCTGGCAGGTTTTGGCCGTAACACATAGCTGGAGAGCCAAGCCCATTTACCACAACCTGCTTTGGCCAAGATTTGGGGCCCAGTTCTGCTGTCCTAAGCAGTTTAAGAGAAGGTAAAGAGAGCTGGCCAGAAGGCCTGAGCCAAGCCAAGCAGACTGCCTGAGCCCCATCTGGCGCTGGGTCCAAGCCCCACCAGCTGTGCGGGTGGAGCTGGGAAATGCCAAGTCAGCCACATTCCAGACTCTTCCTTGCAAAGCCATCAACAGGCAACCAACTGCACTGAACCAGGAGGATGAAGCCATTCCACCAGCCGTCTCTCCTTAGGAAGCATACGAATGACCAGGAGTTATTACACAAGGCTGGCTCTCCCTAGAGTGGCTTAGAGACTGGCACCTAGGTAGAGATAGCCTTCCTTCTACAGGATGGGTGGATGGCTAATCCAAAGAAAAATGTTGCCTTCCAGAGCTCCGGTGGGAGGAACCCAAGGGCATAGGTTAGTCATCCTCATCTAAAGATGTTTGCAATGCCCCTGCCCACGTACCGGTCACCGATGTTTCCACAGACACCAACTCTCCGTTGTTGAATTTTGGATTTGGGCAGCACTTTTTCTGGTCACTGAATCAGGCTAGGAGGCCAGAGAGGAAAGCTGGCAAAACCCTCCCTGCATTTACCCAGTCTTGAGCATCTATTGACTTCATGCGGATGCTTCCGTAAATCATGCCTCCCTACCCAGTTCCATTCCCATCACCCTCTTGCTGACTACTGCTCTCCTGCTTCTTTTTAACATCCTCTGGTTTTGCATCACAGTGTCATCAGGATGATCATCCAAAAGTACTCCCAACCACCAAGAACGGTCCCTGATGCCTCTGGCATGACTCAGTTGGCCCAATGCAACCTGGGCTCTGTCCAGCTCTGCAGCTTCATTTCCTACTTGTTCACACCACACCTCAGGCCTAATCATATCACTTCTTGTCACTCCTCCTATATGCCTCCCCTTCTTCATCTCTTATTGCCCATGTATTCTTCTGCTGAAATGCACTCATTTCTGGTACAACTGGGTGGGGCCTTTCCCCCCTCGGTAAATGAAAATGTCACCTCCTATTGTCAGCTCTCGCATGCCCTCCCTGCCCTGAGTCCTGGAAGCTCTTACCAGCCTCTGCGACCAATGGCTTTGTAGTATAGTCTCCTGGGTATATACCACTCCTCCACGCCAGGGACTGTGCCTTTTTCTTCAGATGGCCCCAGAAACGAGCACAGAGCTTATACCAAGGGCAGGCTGAGAAGTGAGAGTCAGGGCAAAGCCATGTATGACAATCACCATGTCTGCCAAGTGGTAGGGATGATCGGTTTTCTGCAGGGCCCAAGCATCCTCTCTCCCTTCTTCCCACAACCTCCCTGTGGCACTGTTTCTCACTGGTGTCCACTGGTGTCCAGGTTTAATTGTTAAACCCTGAGAGGGAAGGGTTCAGTGTGGCTCTTCTAACCTCATACCCGCAACCCAGCTCTCAATTCCAAATCCAAGTCCAACAACCATGAACTCTGCATTCCCTGATTCTCTTCATCAGCCTTATTTCAGATATGCTGCCCAATTTCCAGCAGCCCTGTCCCCACATCCCGCATTTTTCCATAACAGGAGAAAAAAAAGTGGCTGGCCAGAGCCTACCTACACAGCATCCCAAGTCCATCAGACTCAGGCAGTGCTATAGAGCCCTGCTTACAAAAGAATCCCGGAGAACTTTCCAGTTGCATCCAGCCTTCTACTTTGCCTTGCAAAAGTCACTGGACTCTCAGATCTACCTCTCGGTCCACCATATCTACTACCCTTCTGGTTATGCACTGATCAAAACACGCTGAATGTGTACTATGGGATCCAGATTCTAGGAATACAGCAGGGAAGGACCTCTGATAAGGCAATCTGTCAGTACACCGGACAGTCACCAGAAAAGGGGAATGAATGACATTCTAGACTGAAGGGGCAGCAGATGTGAGGGTCTCAGGATAGCCAGAGTAACCTGTGGAAGGAATTTGGAAGGACTAGTGCCTGGAATGTGATGGTGAGGGGGGAAACCAAAAGAGCAAGAGGTCAGCAGGATCTCCTTGAGGGTTGTTCAGATCCAAGTCGGGGCTTCTGCTTTATGCAATGGGAAGATCCCAGAGAGCCCGGAAGGGCTGGCAACCCTGCTACCTCCCCAGAGCTTCCCCGCTTTCTCTCCTCCTTCGCTCCACTCTCTTGCCTGATTTCTAAACTATTTCTTGGTCTGTCTTTTCTTCCTGTGGATTAAAAGTATAGCCCTTGGGTAACACAAGTAGCCAAACAGTCCAAACCTTTCATCCCTATCAAAACTAAACACAGTCAAGTTAATATAAGCCTAAAATGAAAACCATGTTTGGGGAAATGTTTTTTAAAACTTCCCCCAACCCCAAATTACAGCTAAAAGATGAGGTTTGGTGTTTTTTTTTTTTTTCAAGTTTTTCCCTAAGGATACATTGGTATGAAAGGCATCATAAAATTTCTAGTTTTTGTTGCCTGTAAGCATCTCTATGTCTTGTGACACGAGGACACCAATCCTAACTTCTCCTGGTGGCAGGACCTGTCTATGATCCCCTTCCTATAACCAAGATTGTGTAGTCCTGGGGTCAGTGACTCCTGTGGAAACAGAGGGTCAGGGGTGTTGATGCCTTGTCTCTACAGGGCTAAGGGAGAACTTGCAACCAGCTCCCTGAGCTGCTGGGTGGTGGGGTAGTGGGCCCACCCCAGCCCTAAGATTTCTGTGAGCATGCTTCCTCCATTGTTCATGTTTCCTCTCCTGCTTCTAAACAGCATAAAAGCAGTAGTTCTCCCTTCTACTTTCCATGTCCCCATGGACACCTGAAACTGCTGATAATATAGAACTCTAAATACACTGCTTTTCCTAATGCACATAACTGTGATAAAGTTTAATCTGGAAATGAAGAGCGCGTATACAGTAAGCAGCAAAAAAATTAGCAGCAATCAGTAATAACAAAACACTTAGAATAATAAAAATTATTCTAAGTTTAAATAAATTGTTCTCTCTCTAGAATTTTCCAGGGTGTTTTGTTTTGTTTTTGTTTTCGTTTTTGTTTTGTTTTTACCATAGCTGGTTGTGAACAACTGAAATCCTGAAAAGTGAAACAGAGGACCAAGAGGGACTACCACACTTCATGCCCGGGTTTTCAACAACCAGCGGTTGTTGAGCATGCTCTTGGCAGTTTCTTACCTATAGGCATGTGATAATGTACCTTTGCATCCCTCACTTTTTTCCTCTTCCTGGCAACTGGGGTGCATTGCCACTATTTTCAGGTGCCGCACACTGCTGAGCACTGTGTTTGAGGAAACAGAGCAATGGCCAGAAGCCAGCCTGTGAGCTCGTGGGAGCCTGGAGTGCTCAGATTAGGCCCCCAGACAAGGATTTTAAAGAACTATATAGTTAGTGTACCCTGTTTTCTCCTTTTGTTTACTTAAATAGTTTTGTCCATGTAAGAACCCTGAATATACAAGCTCTAACCTCCAAAGAGGACTGTAAGAGCATGACACTGTACCATGGACCCCGGGATGACAACTCACCCATCTTGTCTGACCGAGATGTTTTGCCCATTGACTGAGATGCCCCTGTTTCTCAAGGTGTGGCTGCACACACCTGTAATCCCAGCACCCAGAAGGCAGAGGCAGGAGGATCACAGCAAGATCAACACCATTCATGACAACTACATGTTCTCCAGAGAACAGACTTCCAGCCTGTGGCTTCTCTCCCAGCCCCACTTCCTATTGGAAGAGTCCAGGGCCGCACCCTACGGCACCGGAGCGCTGCTCACATTCTCACCTCCCACCTCCAGTGGGCGCTGCTGAGTTAATGGCCTGAACCATGTCTGTGGTGAGGGCATCCAGCAGGCTGGTAATAAATTCTGTCTTCTTCCCTTCGGGGCAGCCTAAGATAGAAGAGGAGATTTGAAGGCAGAATCCAGGTAGCTCACCAAGGCAACACCTTCCTCGACTACCTCGACTAGCCAGAGACTAGGGATGTGTTCACCATTAAGCCTCCGTCATTCCTCTGTGCAGAAATCACACAGAAGCATCAGACCAAAAGGATAATAATGTTTTCAGGTTTCTCCCATTCCACACACCAACGCAGGCACTGTGTGAATGTTAGGAAGACAACAGACGAGGCCCTTAGGTTGGTAGAGGTCACAGTAATATGCTGGGCCAATGTACCCAAGATAAAGACCAGACAGACACTGTTCTGCTCTGAGGGGCAAGAACTGGGCGTGGAGAAAGCACAAGGGAGGGACAGAACCCTCCCTGTGTGAATTAAGTGGACCTATCATCAGCCTCCTCTTTTCGCCCTTATTGCTCAGCTGAGGTGATGACTGTAGACTCCTCCGTGAACACCCGAAAGTTCCTATTCTTGTTTCGTTATTTCGGCAAAAGCCCCAGCACAGGTGAGCCTCCTCCCAGGTGTGCCTGTCCCAGGTGCATGCCGAAAAGAGGGGCACTGCTGGGGAAACACTGCCTACCCTGAGAAGAGGAGAGCCCTACTCACCCCCACCAAGTGGGCCCAGAGCACAGCCGCAGCCCCGCCCTCACCCCCTGCAGCAGTTAGGCCCTTCTCCCTCCAAACCTCGAGGCCTCAAATGAAACATGACCTCTCAGGACAGGGTGGACCCAACTAGGTTCTCGCTGTCATTCGCACGGCGCCCCGCTCTCTCTTGAGGGTACCTGCCACGAATCTGTATGTTTGTGCCTTCCTGTATCTGTATATGACTTGCCTGTTCTACCCTGTGAACCTCGTGTCTTTGAGCACTAGACTAAGCTGTGCCTGGCGTGAAGGAGAATGGCTATTCCTATCTGCCCCTGGGGAGGCTGTAAGAAGGTACCCTAGTCTCCCTGCTTCTAATATCATGATGCTGTGGTTTCTACTAACCTCACAAGGCGGGACTTTCAGGGCTCCCTGCTCTCAGTTCCCACTTTGGAGTCGTGATGGGTAATAGGAAGAGGGCACCAGGTCCCACCAGGACAGACCTAATTTTGTACTAAGTAAAGACTGCTAATGAGCATGAGTTTAGACAGCTCCCATCTATGCAGAGGTGTGGGAGGGGGCTTTCTCCAAGGATGCTCTTCTATGTGGGTGTAGGTCTAAGACAGAGTCACCTGTAGAAAGGCTTCCCTGTGCTTGGGCTTCTTCTAGAATGATGCACAGAAAGAAAAAAAAAAAAGAAACTTATGTGGATGTACAGGGGAAGGTCTACAATCTATATACCCCATATTTGTGACGCGGAGTTCACTATAAATAAGGGAAAAGCTAGCCCAGTGGCAATTTTGGGGTCCAGTATGTCTCATGTCACCCCCAGTGGCCATCCTGTGACACCAAAGATCATCATATAAGCATTTCACAGAACAGGTGGCAGATAGTACCCAGACCCCTCTGAGAAGGTGTTCCTTGTAAGCTATCTTTGTTTCACAGCCCCCAAATACCATCCCCATTTCACTGACATAGAGAATGGCCATGAAATTCCAGAGACTGAATTTGAAGTCCCTGACTACATTTTTAAGACAAGGAGGAAAGAGCAAGGGAGAAGAGCAACGTTCTCAGGGGCACAGGACTGACTCCGGATGTAGATTCTCTGACTCCCAGGTCTGTGTTCCTGTGATGGGCCTTCCCAGCATGCCTTGCTCTACGCTGTAGAGGAGAGAGTGGCCTCTGCATGGTGATGGGATAAGAAGCCCAAAGAGCTGAAGGTGCCTGTACCAGCAGGGCAGTGTCTCCTACCTGGTAACTCCCTGTCCTTGAAAGGGTCATCCGCCTCTGCACTCTTGGCTCTGGCATCACTCTCACAACTTGGCATCACATAGCTTGGAGGAGAGACAGAGAAATGAGAAGTTTTGATGGGGTTGGCACCTGAGTCTTCTTCAGCCACTGCTTACTGCCCAGCAATGATCTGTGTCATCATTAAGCCTAGAGCCCTTGGGGAGGAAAATAAAACAGTCCCTGAGCTGTCCAGCAGCTACAGGACAATCCAGCATAAATGCTCTCATTGAGACATGTTCAGGCATGTCATTTTAGCCATGCGAGCGTGATAACAATGCCATCTCCAATCTGCACATGGGATCTTTTTTTGGTCACTTCAAAATTAGGGCAGTACAATCAGCTTTTCATCGGGGAACTGAATGTTGAGAGAGATTAAATAGTTTTCCAAAGTTCGCAGCTAGAAATGGACAAATCAGTGATCAGAATCCAGGTCCCAGGCACTTCTATTAGACCCTCATCCGCTTTGGAATGGAGACCCGAGACTTGGCTCTGGGAGAAGTAGGGCAGTAAAGACAAAAAAGGGCAGCATAACCAAAAGCTGGTCCCTGTGTCCCAGGATGCTCCGCGCAGGCTTACCGTGTGGAAGTCCCAGGCAACGGGCGCCCTGTGTCCACGAGGACACACCAGCAGTAGCCTGTGGACTGGTGACATTGCACCGGCTTGTAGAGCCCACCAGGGGCACACTCGGGAATCACAATGCCCTCGCGGGGATTCTGCCGCGCCTCTTCCAGGGCGCTCTGCCTCTCCTGGTCACAAGAATGGACTTTCTCTGTAAGAGAAGATGCAGCTTCTGGTGACGATTAGAAGCCTCCTTCTGTCCAGACTCCATAATAAACAGCCAGGACCAGGCCTGCCCACAAGGAACCGGTGAATCATCCCAGACACCACCAGGGACTCATCAGCGCTTTGACCAGGGAGACTCTCCTGTAAGCAACAACCCAGCCAGGTCATCAGGAAGACTTCCCTGAGCAGGAGTTCGCTTCAGAGCTGAATGGTTCCTCCATTTTCATTGGTGTCCCTGCTGATGCACCTGCGCGGTCTATAGGCTTCAGCTGGGCTGCTCTGCGCGTGGATGTTGGGATGCCCACGCAAGGGGACCCTGCCCAGCCCAGGCATAGCAGGACAAAACCACAGACCACCACCTTCTTGCAGGGTAATGTCCCACACCCAAATGAACAAAAAACAAGGGCCAGCCCTGGTTCCTTTCACCCTCTAACACAGATAGTCAAAGAAAGAAAGCTAGTGGGCTGAATCAAAGATGCTTCCATTAGACAGGAGCAGAAACAGGGGAGGCAGAAAGGCATCTGTAGTTGGTAGCTTGGGGAACACGTGAACATGTCCAAACAGCTAAACCAAGTCTCTCCAGAGCCAGGCCCAGACAGAGACAGGAACTGAGGCCCTATGCCAGGTGTGGCCAGCTCACAGAAGCCTCACACCTGTAGGACCCTTTACTGGAAAATCCTGCCCAGTAAATCACCCTGGGTTTTTAAACCCTTTCTTTGTTTTGCTGAAAGCTTTATTTGTGGGGGGAGGAGAGAAGCACTGTTATTGTTTAATTTTAAATTTTTGTTTTAATTATTTCTTTTAATTAAAGTGTGGCATTTGTTTAAAAAAATGTTTGAAAAAGAAAATCTGTACATCCCATATGGCCCCCAAGGTAAACCCCTCCACCTTCCTTAGATCTTGTCAGGCAAACAGCAACACAACTTCAAGGGGATTACACCAGAGGCTCTGGATAGCCCTTTCAGATCCAATTTGGTAGCCTCATTTTCCTACCTCATATTTCATGCCATGAAAGAGCTGACAGAGAAACAAAGGCAAAGGAAAACAGCTTTTACTGGCACCACGTTCGTGTAACGGCCTCTGACAGGGGCTTTAAATTAGGACCCTCTAGGCCAGCCTCTCCAGCCATAAATCAGACTCCTGCAAGATGCAAAGGGGAAGAGGAGGAGCACCTCCCCCCCCTTCCAGGGCAGCAGGGGGATGGTGAACCTAACTTCACACCACAGTGGGCCTGAAACCTGGGGAGGCTGGGGCAGGAGCTGGGTGGTAACGGCTTTCATCAGTACAGGCTGATCCGAGCTTTATCCTATCCTCTGCTTTCCTTAAACAGTACATGATTCATAAAAGAGTCTCTAATGATTGAGTCTCTACACCTTTGTGTAGACTAGTCCACATGGACCCCCGGTTGGTTTTAACCCACAACAGAACAGTGTGACACTACTGGAGAAAAAGCCCAGACCTTCAGAGGGTTTGGGGCTTCTCCCTTCACTTTCGATGAGTCCTAAGGCTGCCAGGTAAGGGTGCTTTTATATACTCTCTAGACTCTGGAGGAGCAGAGGCCACATGAGAAGGAAAAAGAAATGGCTTGGCTTGTTAGCGACATGGCCGCTTGGTCATCTTGGATGTTCTAGCCCCACTGATCCTTCACTTGGATGAGCCCAGGGGCCAATTCACATAAAACTAGTGAGACAGGCTCTCTGTCCATGGGAAGATACATTGGCAAGAATAAATTGTTTTTCTGCTACACTAGTTGATCTGGGCTAGCTTGCTATATGACAATAGGTACCAAATTAACTGTCACTTTAGGCCACAGGGAGTCTTGCCACCCCTGCAAGCTCTCCGGAGATGATACAAACACTAATTAATTAGTAAGTCCCAAGGAGCGTAGGCTTGCTGTTATCTGAGGACCCAAAGCCAGTCCATCTGTGGAACCACCCTCTGCCCTACTCAGTCACCTCCAAGATGAGTCTTACCATCCCATCCACCTCCACCAGCTTTCTCAGGTCAGCTAACAGAACGCAAGCTGGGACTGACCCCCAGGGTCATTTTTAACTCACAGAGCAAGGAGCTCTGCTGGCATGGATGCATGCCATTCTGAAACACTTCATCTCCTCTTAGGAAAAGCTGTGAAACAGAGATAAGGTGGAAAGGCACGGCCCAGTGACTGTGAGAACGGGTCAGGGCTACCTGTATATGCCTGGAGGATATAACCCACGCCAAAGAAGAGGGGCGTGGCGATGGCTGACCACACACACTTGTACTCTTCCCTGAACCTGCCCCTGAGATGGTGCCAGGCAGTGAGCACTCACTCAATCTTTCTCTTGGCAATGAAACCTCTGACTCAGAGAAGAAATGCAACAGAAAAGCATACTGAGTTGAGAACGCACAAAGTCCTGGCCTTGCCATTGGAAGACACACAGTGTGCCTTTCCTAATCATACACAGCACGTCAGGGGAGAGAGTGGGACCAGAGAGATCAGCAGTGAGCAATGCTGGATATAGGGCTGGAAAGGCCAGGTTGAACTGGATGAACACGGACCCTGTGTGAGGGCCCAGAGCCCAGGTCTTTATGTGCTGGCCAAGATGGGATCAGCAGAGAGGACATCTCATCTGCTAGGACTGTACCTCGCATTTACCCGTGGTAATTAGGAACAGAGGAGATCATGGATAACATAAATTCTCAGCTGATCCCCTATCTGCACTGGAGCCCAGAGTTTAATCCTCTCTTCTAGGACCCTTCTCCTTCTTTGTCTTTTTTATTTTTATGTATTTTTAAGAGTAAAAATGGGCAACAAACATAAACATTGCAGGATTTGGGCTTGTCTAACTTCCAGGTTATTGGCTTCCAGAGAAGAAAGTGCTGAGAGGAAGGGAAAAAAAAAAAAGAGGAAGCAAAGATTTCTGGGTAACCAACACCTTAATGCCTTTGAAAGTCAAGTCATCAGTGACCAGTGGGTGAAAGCAAACAGGAATTTCATGGTAGAGAAAGATGATGGAAAGAAGACGGAGAGGGGTGTCAAAGAGGGACTGTATTCCTCAATGTTCTCCAGAAACACACACTCACACAAACACAAACACACACACACACACACACACACACTCACACATACACACACACACCATGAAAGGGAGATTTTTAAGGACTGGGCTTATGAATTAGGGAGATGGCAAATTAAACTATGTAGACAAGTCAGCGTCGTAGAAATGCAGGTAAGCAACTGAGGTGGTCTTGAGTCACAAACCAACAGGTTGCACCCTCAGCTCTAAGACACAAAGCAGAGCTTCTCAGTGACAGTCTCCAGGCAGAATTCTTCTTAATGCTTAGAACTGATTGCATGAGGCTGGCCCACACTGTGCAGAGCAAGCTGGCCTAACTGAAATCATCTGTGGATGCTCACATCACCATATCTAGGTAGCGCTGGGCCAAACAATGGGGCCAGGTTGCTCAGCCAAATGGATGTACCTAAAGAAGCATCATAAGGACTTTAGGAAAGATGATACATAGATAGAGAAAAACTGAGAAGTTCCGAGCCAGAAACAGGGCAGGGATGGAAGTAGCAGGGAGCAGGGGAGCCAAGGGTGAAAGATTGGGAGTTTGATGCTAGACTAGGCTGGATAATGAGATCCTATCTCAAAAACACAAGCAAAAACTGTAGGCTGGAAGGATGCCCTGGCCAAGAATGTGGTCTCTCCAGATAAAGACCTGGTGGTTCTTTAAAGAAGCTGCTTTGGCCGCCCTGACACTTGCTTATGTTTGTTGAGCTAGGCAATGGAAGACAGAGGGATACTAACAGGGCTCGGGACAATGTCCTGAGAGATCAGGGACCAGTGCAAGATTGTGGGTGACAAAAATCTCTAGGGCTCAGGAGGAGGTCAAACAAAAAGTTCTGGGGACGGACATGCGGGAACTCAGTGGATATATGTGTACCTTAGTCTGATACAATATTAGGTCCTGAAAAGGCCAGGAAAATTCTGAGAATTGTGCCATCAGCCAGAAGATGTGTCCACCTATTCTCATTCGAGGTCTTTCTCTGTCCCTGAAGCTATCTCTGAGAACTTCTTGGAGTGACACTAAGGCGTGACACGGCCCCTGCTGAGTTTCTGAGTCCCTCGCCCTTTGTGCTCTGACTCCACCAACTGTAAGTCTTAAGGGTTAGGACTTCATCATCTCCTTCCTGCCCACTTCGCCACCCCCACCTCTGGTTTGCTCCTCACTCGGAGAACCATGGACTCTCATAGAGAAAGAATCCATGAAAGATATTTAATCCAAGAATCTTGTTCTAGCCAGTGCTCCAGAGCTGGGACCCACCCACCGTGGAATAAATGCTAGCCAGTGGGTCTGAGACTGCTGGAATCCCACTCATCCCTGACCCTCACTCATCCTGGGAAATGCTACACTCAGCCCTCACACCCTCAAGACTGCATTTTCTTATGGGGATAAACATCAAGAAAGGGTGATTCAGCCGGAGAAAATGAGAGGAGCTTGCTTAAATTCATTGCAAAAGTAATCATCTTGCCGGGCCAAGAATATTAAGAAAAACACTGGCCTTCTTTCGACAATGACCCTGAAACCTCTTCAAATACCTCCCACCCGTCTCGTCTCTTATCAAAAATGAATAAAATGCTCAACGGTAACCCACAATAACAAACCGTACGTTTTTATTTTAAAATCTTTCTAAATAGCGACATGAAATTCCAGAGGTTGTAAAGGAATGGTGTGGCTCTCACCGCAGGTTTCTCCAGGTCTGAGAATTCATGGGGGTGTGGCACGGGGGCCACCTCAGGACTGCCCAGTGGCTGAGAATTTGGTGGAGAGGTGTACTACCAGAGAAGGATGGAAAGGTGGGCCAGGATTTTAAGGACCTGGCTTTCCTCTTGAAAGGGCGGTGCAGGAGCCAGGGGTGTGGAGGCGAGGAAAGAGCCCGCCAAGGTCATAATCTTTAGGAATGATTTACAGAACATTGCTGAGCCATCCTTCTGTTTATGC